CAGCACACCTTACAGGAGGAGGAGGAAGGTGTGTTGTATATGTTTATCACCTTGAGTTATTTGTAAAAATAATAAAGGTGGTATACAAATAAATATTAGATTAGTATTAAATATATTAATATTCCTGCCAATTTTCTCCATTATTCCTGATTTACAGAAGGCTTCTGTAAAGAGCTGATCTACACCAGAAACCTTATGAAGTAGGATTAATTTTGAGATCTCTGATGTTTGTGTTACAATGAATGGTTACCATTTCAAGATGGGTGTTTTCTGGAGGGGATGTTATAGCTTAATGTATATATTTGTCACTAGTTTGATAGACCCGGAATCATTAACTTTTGGATTGATTTAGAAATGTTGATCTCAGTGAATGAGTCAATTGATAAGAATATAGCCCATTTTATAAAAAGATTAAGAGGGATTCTAATAGCCTGCTGGTAGAAGATTATACTGTTGTGAGTCAATTACTGAAAAGAGAAAAATACTGTATTAAAGATCTCTGTGGTTTTTAAAGGTCTCTGTGGTTAATTCCTGCTCTGGAAACTGCTTTAAAATTAAAATGAACCTTCAGGAACAGCTTGCCCCAATGATAGCTCAACTGTTGGAAAAAGCTGAGGTGCAAGCAATCCAGTCATAATCATGAGACAAAAAGGACTCACTGTTCTGTCCTTGAAAGGGAAGACAATAGATGTTGTTGGGGTTCAGCTGATGTCCATTAATAAGTAGCTAGTAATAAGCCATAATCAAAATGTTGGCAAAAACCTGCATTTTCATTGGAACAACTACTTCAGGGGTGTCAAACTGGTGGCCCATGGGCACAGGCTCCACCCCAGCTCCGTGAATGGGTAAAACATCACGAAATGTCATATGATGCAATGTGATGTGGCAAGTTTGACACCAGTGAACTACTAGAACTGTTATGCTTTGAGGTAGATTTCATTTGAAGATATGGAGGCCTAGAATGGTAATATAGCCTACAATATTGAGATACTTTTACAAAATCAGAGAGCAGCATATTCCTGGCTGTAGCTTTGTATTTTCAATTAGCTCTTGCAGTAATGGATAAATTTTAATTAATTAAGAGATTATAATAATCACAATTTTCAGATAGAAGTAATCAAATAAAACTTTTATTTAGTTTTTCCCATTTTTTTTCAAAATGACAAAGTGAAAAACTATTGCCTCTTCCAACTATTTATTAAGAATGTATTAATGACTAACAAGAATTTTAGTTATACCTAAAATGTTGACACTTTATACTAATATAGTGGTTAATTTCCAGCAACATATTTATTGCCTAATAAAGTCTATGTACATTTTAATGTTCCTTAATCTAGAATATTGTATCAAATGTAAAATAGTGAACTTCAAAAACTTTTACCAAAGGCTATTGCGATCTAGACAGCAACATATTTACTGCCTAATAAAGTCTATGTACACTTTTAATGTTCCTTAATCTAGAATATTGTATCAAATATAAAATAGTGAACTTCAAAAACTTTTACTAAAGGCTGTTGTGATCTAGACAACTATCTTGTGAGAAGCACAATAATATGAAATGTCAATAATGTTTATGAATATGTTGCGATGCGAGCTGGTTAAACCAAAGCAATACATTCTCTGACTCACCTGCTGATGCTAGATTATGTAATTCATCTCCCCTTTTTCCTTTGTAGGAGACAAATAAGTTATCAGCCATCAGCACCAGTGAAATAAGTTTGAGATCCAGCCTTAGAGTTCTGAATGCATCTAGCTTTTACATGCCTCTTTCTCTAGCATGGGGAGAGTCTGGGCATAAATTAGGAAGCATATTCTCTTGTGTTGAAAGGAATTTAGAATTGTTGACAGGGATCAGGCATAGATCTGTTCTTGGTACTAGTGTGTATACATACACTGTCACATAGTTGAATATTTCTAACTATGATTAGAGCTACCAGAAACTGTCTTTCAGGTGAGGGTATTAATGGGAACTTATTTGGTAGTAGTTAAACCCATGAGAATCTAGAATAGATCCCAATAAAGACAGTGAATCACCAAGGGTGAGAGATTTGAACTTCTGAGGAAACAATTGATTTTATTTAGTTATAAGATCTCCAGCACACACACACAAAGTGATTCTAGATGACCTTATATATGTAGGTAGCCAGATAGAGATGCCTCATCCATCTAGGAAGACTAAGTCCACCTACCTAATATTTTAATTTCTTTTGCCCCTCTTCAGAATCCACTTGTAGGATTCATGTGCTGTTGATGCCACAAATTTCTGACTTTTGTATCATAAATTAAAGGCAAATCAAATGAATTGAAAAGTCCTGGTTGTTGCTAGATGCCTTGATGCAGAGATAATTTCTTCAGAATTAGAAAACTATTCAGTTTGTATTTCCAGGTGCATAATTATGCTATTCTGGATCCAGGTAGAATCAGACCCTTAGAAAAAATGCCCAATCATTTCAAGAAATACCAGGGTGCCTTTTTCATCTTCACCAGTTACAAACATGAATTTTCTCCTATGTAAGTTAATTTTTTATTGCCTTTTCTATAGTCACTGGCTAAGAACATCAAGTGCTTTCATCTATGTCCCTGTTAAATATCTTAGGTTCATCTGGAAAGGAACAGGCTTCACCCACTAGTCATATTTTGTGCCATCATATGAACAGGAAAGCAACTTTTAATGACTGGCATGATGTAAGCATTCAAGTGATTTTATTGATTACATTACCAGTCAAATGCATTTTTGCAATAGGACTGGACAGGTAACAAGAGAAAGTAAAAGTTAAGTCTATTCAATCAGTAAGATTTTTTAAATACCTATTTAAAAATATTTATCCCAGGGAGGTTTGGCTCACAAGTTGCATCATGATTAATCTAAAAGATAAAGGACTCCTTTTTAAAAAAGCATAATTTATACTCTTCTGAAATGATAATATATTCATCCCTTTATTACAAAGATCTAGAGGCAAGAAACAATTTAAACCCATCTTGAGACAACTAAAAATATGTAACTCATTCAGTTTGCCATGCTACCCACCATCTGTCACTGTTTGACAAACAGTATCTATTCTATGGTGGGGGTCTTTTCTCCCAAGATTCTCAGCTTTATCAAACTCTGAATGTTTGCCCTGTACAGTGAATTCCACTACTTTGCTTGATTTTAGGGCATGTTAAAATACATTAACCCTATCTAGAAAGCGGATTGTTTCATGCAATTGTCACTCAAAAAAAACATTTTCACATCTCTGAATTTACATATAAAAGTATCGGCAATGCTTCATTTGTATTATTATTTTCTTTAGATTACTCAGCATGACCAATAAGCTTTTTTTGGAGAAAGAAAAATCCTCAGAGTTGCATGTAAGATTAATCCTGCCAAGTTTTTTGTTTTCATTTTATATTCCTTAGAAATACCTAATATGGCTGTTACGTGACTTTTGCAGATTATCTATTGCTTCATTTCCATGTTATCATTCTGATACCTTAACTCAAAAAAGACCTTCATTAAATGTTGATAGCTTTTGGTGGTTGGAGGCTTCAATTAACATTTTTGATGGAGGTGGAGGAGTCAAGGTAACGTTTCATCATCTTGCAGCAGCCCATTCATTCTGCTGGAATGCCTTTCCCCTAATATTACAGCTGAATAAATTGAGCAGTCTTAATTGGTCTTTTAAGAATAGTAAAGCATACACTTGACAAAAACAATCATTAATGGGTAGCCAGAGACCAGTAATTAAAAAAACCTACATTTGGCAAAATCAAAATCTCCATGGTTTTCCTGGCTTGAGCACGAGCCCAAGCAAATTACCAAATACACTGCCCAGCAAAGATTTTGCTTACTGAACATTTTTGGGTGTACCTTATAGGTTTTTGGCTAGTTCCCAAATTCAAACCTCTCTACATCATTTAGGAGGCTAAATGGGAAGGCTAATTCCATCTGCCAATGACCTGTTCCAATTAAATAAAACTCTTATACTTTGTTGAACTCAGTTCCAAACAATTTACTACTGTATTTGAGATAAAAGGAGCAATTTGGCCCTTCTGAAGTTGAATATAAAACTGAATGTTATACACAGCAGGCATCTTAATGTTTTATTCATTGCAATCTGCATACAGATAAACTTCACCAATATTTAACTCACTGCAGCATTTTGTAAACTTTGATAAGATCACATAAAAAGGAACTAAGTGTTTGTGTATAGATTTAGCCAATATATTGGTTACTGTAAAAAAAATGAAATCACAATGAAAGTGGAGGCCTGATTTATTTAACTTGTCCAATTAGTTCATTACTTTACAGTTTTAGATAAAACTAAACTCCAGTACTTTGAAAACAAATCAAATCAATGGTAGTTTCTAGCAACCAGTAGTCAAGTAATGCAGAAAACATACATTGGAAAATGCTGCTTTTCATTAAAGTTGCATACTTATATTTACATTATTTCAAAATTATTAAAGACTGAGTGTAATGTAAAAATAATTTCTAAATCATTTTATATAAAATGCCACTCACATGTGTTCTTGGAAATAAGTGCTATTGAGTTCAATGGAACTTACTGTTATGCAGGTGGATATGACTGCTGTTTTAATGTGTTTTGCATGTAACTAAATATATTTATAAAATGTTATTCTATGCATTAAGCTTAGAACAGCATATTAACCACTGTTAAGATGTATTCCCTAATAACTAAGTTTAGGATTACAACTTAAGTTTACAACCCATTTTACTGATCTTAACAGAGTTACATAAGGATAACTGTGTAGGACTGCAGCCTAGTTACACATATTTCAGTAACATACACATGTAATGGAGGTCAGTGTGAGGGATGCACGTCAAATTGACAGCTGTCGAGCACTATTCACATTGTTAAAAATGACTGATTTTACAATACTAGTAGTTCATGGTTTGAAACTTTAGAAAAGATACAAGGTACAATGAAATACTCCATTTGCTAAAATGAGTGAGCTAAATTGCGAGATTTCTAGCAATCATGTGTAAGGTCTTTTTGTTACACTATGGTAACAATCTCAAATTATTACAAGGAAGCTAGTTTTTAAATATCCCATTGACGGATTTTCCTGTTATTGAGCCGTATCAATTCTGCTTAAGGGGAAATTAATGCATACAAACACCCAGAGAAGCTGTTAAAGCAAAAGCAGATCAAAAAATGTTGCTGAGTGCTCCAAAAAGGATCCCAACGATTTGAATTTCAGAGTTAAAAAAGGCAAGCAACAGGAGTTTTTTTAAAGCTATAATGGAACTTGTAATTATGGAGATGATTCAGATTTAAATCGGAGTATGAATTCAAAATGCTGCCATTGGGTAATGGGGTATGCAGATACAGATATACTTATGCCCTGCTGCACACGGGTGCTGAAGATAACCAAGAAGCCTTAAACCCTTAAAGATAGCTAAGAGCAGCACTGAAGCAAATTGCCTACACTGTCCATATGAGTATATTAATGAAAGACATACTAAAAATACAAAAAGACAATTCTAAACAGAAATAAATTTCAACTGTTATTGTGCTGGAGAATACCCTTTAAAGGAATAAGGCCAAGAAATTTAAGCCTGTCTGCAAGAGGAATACATGGTTTTTCCTGTACAGTTTGATGCTTTTGTCATACCATCTATAGTAGAAAAATAAATTCTTTAGCAACCTAGAAATCATTTACAAAATGCTTGCAATTTATTTTCTTCTTAAAATGACTCTGTTAAACTAATGGCTATAAATAAAAGCTATTTAAACAGCAGATGATGTAAAACAAATTAATGCTACTACATTTACAGGACAATTTTTATTATTGTATTTATATCCTGTGTGCTTTGAATTGGAATAGAGCATTTGCTTTTGTAGAAAAGATAATTACTTGCAAGAATATAACACAAATATCAAGGTAATTTATAATATACAAATATTTTAACAGCAGCCTGGGTTATGGTATCTTAAGTATAATGGTAATGTAAGTCATAACTCTAAGTACAATACCTAGGACATAACGAAAAAAGGCAATTTTTATTTCAGAAGGCCAATAAGAACCTTTAAAAAGTTTTTAAAATCAAAATCAAATTAAATTACCTTAGTATTCAAAAATGTTCTACATACTGCAGCTGATAGTAAACAATGAGATGACAACAGTATTAGTAAAATCTCCCAACTAGTTCAGATATTGCAATGCTTTTTTTCTAAAGCTTATTTTTAAGAAAACTATTTTGCAGATAAAAGAAAAAGTTGGTAAGGAAAACTTAGACCTGGATGCAAATTTCATTCTGCTTATGGGCCAACTTTTATTCATTCTCCCTCTCTAAAGATTTATTCCAGAGATGGAAAACAATCTGTTTGGGGGCATTGGAAATCTGTGTAAGTTGGGATCTCTCCACTGAAACACTTGTATAGATGAAAGAAACCCATTTGTGAACAGAAATCTGAACCAATTCAAATATTTTAAACCGTTCCATTTTTTTCATAATTAGCCTTTCACCACGTTTATTAACTATCAACTATTAATTAAGAATGTTTAAAAATTAAGCAGCATTCTTTAAGAGAGATATTTGTACCAATATAAAAAAGGAAAATAATTTTAAATGGTGCAAAAGTTATTTTGAAAATATAATACAACAGCTCACAGGAAAAAAAATGAAGAGAGATACCTTTTTATATACAAATTTAGATGCTTCAGTACCCAAAGTATTTATTGCTATATATTAGCAATGCTTTTTATACCTTTAGAGGGTCACAGAAAAATAGACATAGTGTATATGTTAAATTTATGGTCTAGATTGTTTGGTTTAGCAAGTTCACACTACAGCAAAGTTCTCATTTATGTACGAAAAGTTATACAGCTTTATATGAAATCATCAAATTATTTTCTCTACACTAAATGAATTTTCTAGTGGGAAAAATTAAAATATAGAAAATATATTAGGCTTACAAGACCTTCAATGATCTTTCAAACATGCAGCTTACAGAATTAACAGTATTATAAAAAGTTTCATTAATTAATGCAAATTAAGGGGAAAGTAGATAATCATAACATATTTGCACAGTGCTTAACTCACTTTTACAATAAGCATGTCCTTGGTATTGTGCTACAAGAAAAAAATTCTAAAGCCCTCAACAAAAAATATCCACAGGTTTAAGAGAAAAAATGTATGGGAATGTGGCATTTGTAACAGTGCAGTTTGTTTTTCCAAAATATGTTGCAATGTAGTATAAGTAGTTCACAATTTCTAAATAAGACATGGTTGTATTTTACGTCTAGAATAGGACTAAATTGGTATGAAAATGATGGGGAGGGGAGACAATTAAATAACAAAAAACAGCCCTAAAGCAGGCTGCAAGTATTGAGTGTTCCATAAATGATTTATTTAATAACATTTCTATAGAAAAGTTTTATTCACAATATATTGTGACAAACTGTCACAAAAATGATAGTGATTGCGTAAATGTTCATGCAACAGCAGCTTTGCACTTTAGTTATTTATGATTTAAAAAATTAAACCTCTCCAGTCATGCTAATCACATAATTTTGACCTGCAGTGTTATGAACAAGGTGGATAGAGTGACTACAAACAAAAATATCTTAGTTTAGGTTCAAATTCTTTCATAATGAAGTTGTCATTGTATCTTGAAACATGCACATCCAGGTTTCCTCTGTATCCATTGCCAAGCTCTTGACAAATCATTTTGTCAGTTGTTTTATTTAAATAATTCCAAGAGGATCTGCTTGCAACTGTGGTTGTATTAGCTGAGGTTGTAGAGGTGGTGGTAATTGTAGTGGTAAAATCTGTACTGGATTTGAACCTGGAAGCTGATGTGCTACATTGTCAGACATTTCTGAAATTTCTCCACCATAGAAGAAAAACTGGCATTGTTGAATGACTGTTTCTATTACTGACTGAAGGATTTTGGTGGTTGACAGGAATTCTCTGTTTTCAAAGTCAGGTCTCATCAAAGTAGGCCAAAAACATATAGATAAGTTATCTGCAGTCATTAAGTTGGTTCTGCTCTGTTGACTAACTCTACAATATGAATAAATGTATTGAAGAGTTAATATTTGATTGAAAATACCTGAAAATGTTACATAGCATTACATTTAATATATGCAGCAGCTTTTAGGCGTTATATCTTGAACATAATGCAACAACAAACAAGCCTCAGTCATATGATTCTTTTTAAAATACAAGAAAATAGGCATAATTACCTAAGAACTCCTTACTCTACTATTTCTCTGCATGGAATAGAAAAAATAGTCTATTAAAATAGACAGTCTACAGTCTATTAAAATAGAGAAAATGGATTGTGTAAGTTCTTCATACAAATGCACTAGTGCCAAAGTTCTTGAAGAAAAAAACAATCAGTCTCAAGTTCGATTCTACCATTATGATCACAATAATAATGAACATTTAATCTATTTCACAGTCACTTTTATACACAGATTTAAATAAAATGCCTATATTATTACAGTGGTTTAAATTCAACTAGGTGCCTACACAATCAGAAGTAAACCCACAGATATTATGGGTGTCTATTCCTTACCGAGGTCTGCACTGAGAGGTGTGAAGGCTGTCTGTAGCACACAATGACCAAGGCTAGTTTACAGGTACTCTTTGGTTAATAGTCAAAGTGTGATGGATCCTCCAAAAAGGTACTTACAACCCAATTTTGAAGTTCCAACAGCCGCACACAAACCTGTGATCATATTGTGGGTGTTTGGCAACCACCTTAACTTTTATGCCCATTTGTAGCATCCCAGTCATATAACCATGATTTTCAATTGTTGGGGTTTTTTTTTTGCCAGTTTCTGGTGTTTACCTCCAGTTTCTGGCAAAAACACTCCACTGGAATTTTACAAGATATAAATTACAGAATTTTTAAGCCAGCATGGGAAGAAAACTATAAGAGATGTATATCTCTTAAAAGAAATTTCCCACAACAGGTGCTATTACTAATAAGAGCATCTCTACTTCTTATCAACTCTCTCAATCTATTGGTGGGTGGGTAAGTAAGAGCTTCACATTCATATAAATGTAGGCAGCTTTGTATTGCTACACTATCCCACTGATTCATTAAAACATTTCATTTAATTATGCCTTACATCAGGGGTGTCAAACTCGATTTCATTGAGGGATGCATCAGGTTTGTGGTTGACCTTGGGAGTGTGACTCACTTGTGTTGGGGGGCACCTGTAGTGGCCTTAGCGCTCTGCCAGTGAAAATGGGCTCCCAAGCTCCATTTTCGGCTGCAACAGCTTCCTGCAACCCTCTGTCATTGAAAACAGAGCTCAGGAGGACCACACACAGCTCTCACGAGCCGTTTTCACTTGCAGAGGCACTGCAGGCTAGTTCTTTGCTATTTCCAGGGTGACCCTGGGCCAGATTTAAGCACCCTGCAGGCCAGATACAGCCCCCGGACCTTGAGTTTAACACCCCTGCTTTACATCAATGAACAACATTGTAATACCCAATTGCTACAGAAATATGGATAAGGCTTTTATAGATCTTTCTAATTTACAGTTTAATTGTTATTACATTTGTTTACCGACCATCTTGCACAAGGTGACTTAATGTTTCATGCAAACATCTTTATGCATAGCAGATTAATATGATTAATCTTTCTGACAAATATTAATGAATCAATCTGCAATTGATATTTGGCAAAAAAAATACCTGTTCAGATGAGTTATTACATATTTGAACACTTCATAATTCACTGGATGGAATTTCTTCACAATTTCCTTTAATTCATATAGCCTTTCAGTCTTATCAAGAATTTCTGTAAAAATAAAAACAAAATGTTAAAACAATAAGCACTGTTTCTACTTTTGGGACCTAATATGTTCTGGGACACTTATGAGGAATGTTAACCTATGTTTATGTAATAGCCAGTCATTAAGTTTTTCTGATATGTAGGGAGCAGTAGGAAAACTGATGAGTGGGTAAACATTTGAAGAAAAGAATCTAAATAATGTTTTAGTTAATTTTCTATTCTATAAATGTATATGAAAAAAATGCTAATTTCTCCTCTTCTGCCTCCATGAGTGACAATCCTCTGGAGATGTGCAGGGTCTGTGGAAGACTTCAGAACAATAGTACAATCATGCTATCAATAAAGTGCATTCCATTGGTGGGCAGAGAAGTTTGGTTTCACCTTTTAAATAGGTAGAGTTCACTAGTTTAGTTTAGTATGGTATAATAAAAATACAAATAATAAAATATAATAAGGTAAGATAATGTTTAGAGTAGAAGGATTAATTAGTCCAAAGTTTGTATGCGAAGCTTTCTGTGATTACTTGGGATATTACCTAACTATAAAGGCATACAAAAGAAGTCCTGAAATGAGAAATATAAGAAAAAAACCTCATAAATCTGTGAAATCCTTGAAAGGTACCAAACAGATTGAAATAAATAACCCAATACAGAGTATAGTAGGTAAGATATAGAAAATGGTTATCCATAACATGTATTCTATGAGAAGAAAAAAGAAATTACTTACTTGATGCTTCAACTAATTCTGCATGCAGTGAATAAGGAATTAAAGGATCCGGGAGATCTGCAAAGAAAGCTTTAAGAGCTCCTGCCACAGCATTTACTGTTACATCCATAGATTCCAGACTAATATTATGATCTACAAAGCAGTATGAAACAATGTATTAGGAATGCAAAAAATTCTACTATACATTTCTCAAGAGAATTCATTCACTATAAACACAAAACAAATATTAATTTTCAATTTAAAATATATTTCACGAGTATTACTACTAAGCCCCTTCCCGTATCAATGGATTTCATGTTTATTATGTGCAAAAAATTGCATTTCTCTGCTAAAATTCATTCTTATTTTTCTAAGTTATCAAGATTGCTAGAGGATTAGTTGCCCCATACAATTTTGTATCAGATACAAGTCTGATTAATGAAGGAAATGTTTTAACTAATTAATGAGTTCAGGACCAAAGACAGTCTACTGTTTTACATGTATATACTGACATCTAGTTCCTGTAGGTATTCTTTCTTGTTCTAAGATTTTTATTAGGCTTCTGAATGACCATTTTTAATCTATTTTTCTCAGAATTACAAATAGTCCTCAAATACTGACAACTCAAGATACAATAGTGTTGAACAAACAACTTTACAACCAATTTACAACTTATGACATTCACATGGCCTATTAGTCATCTAATTGCCATTATAGTTAATATGGCATTCCATGTCTGACCTGTTGTTTTTCTCTCACATCACTCCTTGAAGAATGGAGACTGAAGAAGTGATTAAAAAAGAATAAGCAGGTACATAACAGGGAATACATAATGAAAGCAACACAATATAGCTGGTATATCTCCCATTGTGTGTCCACTTACTGTACTCGTTTAATCCTGTCTCCAATCTCTCTTCTGCGGGGGGTGGGGGGTGTCATTGGCTACAGACCCCTCCTTGGTGGCTTGTTGGGACCCTTCTTTTTGAGGGAGAAAAGGAATTGCTATTGACATGTGCACATGGGGAGAGGGTAGAGAAGTGACAGAGCAACTTAGGTGTCAGTGGGGACGGAGGAGATAAGGGTATGCCAAGCTTGCTTTGAGGAAAACTTTCACTAAGAAGGGGTTGGGACTTACAGTTGCCAGCACCAACCAGCACATTGCTTTCAATGTGTATTCTTCATTTTGTGCCTACTTATTCTCTTTTAATCCCTTTCTCTCCAATGAATACAAATATAAACATTAATTTCTCTTCTAGTTCATTATCCAGCACTGAGATGACCATTCAAGAGTGTGGTTAGAAGGCAAACAAAGGCCAGAGTTGTAAAACTGATTACTCTTGTCACTTTTAGATGGTAAGCAGAGATGTAGTCACTTAGCAACTGCTTTATTTATCTAGGGAGGGCAGGGGAGGAGAGATGCTGGGCCTGGTATGTGGGAGGGGAAGAAGAAAGTTAAGCTTCTGCATTCTTTGGCTTCTGAGGCTAAAGTATAGTGAAAGCTCAAAAAAATGAAAGATTCTTCCGACTATATGAAGCTTATTACAACAGAACAGAAAAGAACATGTCTGTCTAAAGCAGTGATGGCTAACCTTTTTGTCTTCGCGTGCCAAAAGTGCGTGTGCACACACAACAGTGTGCATGCGTCCCTGCACCCTTAATGCAATACATGTGCAACCCCCTCCTGCTTCCCCCCACCATGTGCATGCATGCAGGACCCTCCATGCTCCCCTGCCACTGCACATGCACGTGGGACCTCCCCATGCTCCTCCACCCCGTGCATGTGCACATATGCACCTAGCCTCCCACGCATGCATGGCAGATACCCAAAAATTAGCTGGCTGGTGGGAGGAACGCATGCATGTGCAGTGGTACTGAGCTGGGGCGACGGCTCACGTGCCCACAGAGATGGCTCTGCGTGCCACTTCCGGCATATATGCCATAGGTTAGCCATCACAGGTCTAAAGGAAGCTATGAATTGGTTTTGGGTCTTGTTTTTATTGCCATTTCATTGTATTATGATTCGAGTAACATATAACAAGTGATAGAATTTTCAGATAACACATGAACCCAGAATTTATATTAAAATATATTTCATATAACACTTTATACTTTTTTGGCTTTGATTGGTACTATTTTTGGTGTTGTTTTTCTAAATAAATTCTAGTAATTTTATTGGTTTATTGTATATATTGGTCAGGGGTTGCAACTCAAGCCTACAAATGAACCATCTGAATCTACTGCATTTTGTAAAATGGTGTCCATCATTGCAGTAAAAAAAGTGGTGGGCTATATTTTCTAACTTAAAAGGCTGGAAAAGGAACATTTAACCTCATGGAAGCTTTGCACTCCAACCACCATTTTCAAAAGTATTCCAAACCCTAAATCTGAGCAATGTAACATTTGATTATTTGGGATATAAAAGGAGTGCCACAAACAAGTTTATTTTTATTATAAATCTTATGGGCTTTAAGAGACATTGTGCAGAAAACTAGGCTTCGGAATTGAGTAAAATAAAGTATTATACACTGAATTAATATATTCATGTTATTAGATTTCTTTGATTAGCTTCTACAAAGATAGTATCATAGTGTTTTAAATACTGTACTAAAATAATGTTACATAGTTATAACTATGTAATCATAAAAAAGATCCCCATTACCTTGATCAAATTGCTTTTGAATGTTGTCTTGATCTGTTTTATTACCACTAACACGATAGAGACCTTCTGTACACAGACCTTTGGGAAGAGGAAGAAAACATTGAAGAATGGAAGTCACTTACATAGTAAAAAAATTCTTCCAGTAAATACTTTATATTTTTCTCATAAATACATCAATATAAATAATATTTAATTCGCATTATTTATTATTTCTTTCTGAAAACAATATAAAGTTCTAAATGAGGGACAAGTAAGACTTTCAGAATTACTTAACAGCAAGAATAAATATTTAAATATAATTTCTTACCTGTATCTTCAATAAACTGCACACACTTCTCAACAAAGAGAGGAATAGATTTTTCAGGTGTAACCAGATCTTGTAGGGGCATCCCAAAATAATTACTTTCCCAGTTTCTACGAGTTGGTGGATTGAAAGTCTTTGTTTTCTTTTTTTGCTTCAACAAAACAGCATTGTCAAGAATATTAGCTATTGAAATAAACATTCCTTAACAACTGCATACTATTAGAAAGGCAATTCTTCACGTGGCAATGTACTTTTTGAAGATATATAATAAATAAAAAGAAAGCCAAACTTGTTCAAAATGCTACAACTGTCTGTTTCCAGGGCAAGGATCCTGAATCTTTCTCAGAGCATGATGAGGAAAACAGTTTCTTATTCACAAAATGACTGTTGAGGACAACATAACCAAACCTCTATTGCCTGAATGCTACTTCTCATCCACATCTAATCCTTATTTATGAACTTCATATTACTTATTGCTCATGTCTACTATATGTAAGTTTTTGCTGGACTGGTTTATTAACTGATTTAGAAAATTTATATAGCCACTCAACCTGAATAATTTCTATCCTAAATAACATATATAAAATACCCCTCCCCCCAAAAAAACATTGTATAACCACGACTAATAAAAAAATCTCATATTTCAGCTGCAAAAGAACACTGTGAAAGCTTATTGTAAACTCTTGCCTTTTGGATTGAAATTATAAAATGCATTCATTTCTGACTCTGGTATGGTAGAATAAAGTAATAACATACAACCTCAAATTTTTACTTTTACATTCTCATTATATCTGCTCTCATTAATATGTGATATAATCAGACATAATATAAATTTTCCTTATCTTCTGGCACAGAATGCTTCAACTTTCAAAATATACACATATGAGACGATATATATAGATATATATGTTTTCGTAGATTTTCATGGGTACAGGTATGGAGGGTGTTCGGGTCTTTTCCCGTGTAAGATTGAGAGCATCTTGGCAACGTTTCGACGAGGTCCCACTCCCCATCTTCAGGCTGGTGCTTTCGGTTTCATGCTTGTGCGAGCAAAGCGTGATCGGAGCTGCCATCTCCCTATATATACTGTGTTGTCATTTCTTGATTGGTTGATGGAGTTGATATTTGCAGATTGGCTGGCTTTTTCGTAAGAACATGTGTGGCTGAGGTATTGGCTGTGTGTCTATCAGCCTCCTGTGTTGTAACGACCTGGGTAATGGGCTGTGTGATGACCTTCTGAGTTCTATTGTTTTGACATCCTGGGTCTTGTGCTGTAATCTCCTGGGTCGTAATGACCTGGGTCACGGGCTGTGTGATGACCTTCTGAGTTCTACTGTTGTGACATCCTTACAGCACAAGACCCAAAGCCGAAAGCACCAGACTGAAGATGGCAAGTGGGACCTCATTGAAACGCTGCCAAGATACTCTCAATCTTGAACTTCTGGTTTGGGCTTCTTCGGTGATGGACCGAAATCGCGATTGTCCACAGTTCTGATCCGTGCTCACCGCTGGAGCACCCCGAGCTGCCTGGATTCAGGGCTTAAGCCACCCCCATAGAGGTGGTGAAGAAGGGGGAGCTGTCAGCGAGGTTGAGAAGAGCCACATCTCTCCTCCTCGGCTGGCCATTACTCCCTTTCCCAAAGGTGGTTGCAGCAGTGGTCAGAAATGGCCACCTCAAAGAATAACCTGACCAGACAAAATTGTGCAGGAGGAAGTTTAAAGGAGAAAGTTTGACTGATCGGGTTGAATGGTGAACATCTAAGGTACCTGGAATCTGAATTTTATAGACTAATACTATTCCTAAAAAAGATTTTAACTGCGAAAGAGAAAGGAAAAGGAAATGGAATTGGCTTTTTTTCCCTCTAACATTGACTTGGAACATTAAGAATAAGAGATTCGAATAACAAATTGATACTAATCCACTTTGACATTAATAGGCTATTTCGAGCTGAAAATAAAGTGTCAAAGGGATAAAGATTCTTGGATAATTTTAAAACTTTCTTTAAAAAAAAAGAAAGAAAGCAGCGGAGGGAAAAAGGAAAAAAGAGAGCGGAATCTGGAAAATGGAGGAGACCACTGGAACTTTAAAAAAAAATGATAATGGAATTTTAACAAGGCTTGAAAAAGATACATTGAAGCTGAAATTTTGTTACAAGAGAACAAAGCCCCTGGAAAGAGAAAGTGAGAAAATAAGCAAGAAACAGGATTATTGGATGATTCCTGGAACTTTGGATGGAGGATCCTAATGAAATAAAATAAAATTAACTAGGGGTTGTTTAAATTTTTTTTTAAATGGCATCACTCCTTGAAGAGTTAAATATGAGACTTAAAGAACAAAAAGGAGAAGCACAAGATGGAAGAGGATCTTTTGGCTTCGTATTTCAATTTTTAGAAATGGAGATTTTGAACTATGAAAAGCAACAAGAAACGCTGGCAGAACAAGAAGGGCGGGACAATGAAGAAGCCATCTTTAATGACCAAGCAATTTTTACAAAGGGGTAAAAAAAGAGGGGAAAGGGAGTTACAAAATTAAGTACTGAAGCAACAACAACAAAAAGAGTAATTTGAAAAGTAATTATAATATCAGGAAGAAGCAGAAGGGAGGATCCCAGAAGGGAGAATCAGATAGAAAAGGGAATAAAAAGGGGAGGGAGAAGAAGAGAGGGAAGAGGGAAAGGAAAAGAAGCTACAAAAGACAGAAACAAGATATAGAGGTACAGGAAAAATGTACAAGAATTAAAGATATAAACCTATTTAAAAGACACAGAGACAATGGTTAAAATTTAACTTAAGAAGAAGATTCTGCAAGGGTGCATGGGATAGCATTGTTATATAATATGTTAGATGATTAAAGTGATAGAAAAAATTTCTATTGATGTGTAGTGGAATATTTGTTTGTAAAGAGAATAAGGCTCTCAATGATTTAAAAAGAGCATTTAAAAAAACTGAAAAGAAACATGAAAGATTTTTATCAGTTGATAAGATGAACTTGAATAAGAATAATAACTTTATTGACTACTGTTAATAACTATTGTTTAGTTTTTTATTTAAAGACAGTAATAAATAAAATATGAAATATAGATGATTAAAGTGAAAGACAACTGATATTACTGGGTAATGTTTGTTAAAAGAAATAGAAATGTAAAAGATTGTTATTAATATGAATGGCAGAGCTGTATTTGAATAATTATTCAATTTACTATTGTTATACATATATACACAGATATATATACATATATACTTTTTTCTTTTAAGAATTTAGTCTGTATTTTAAGGGAATGTACCAAGCAGAATTTGATTGAAAATAGGTATGTGTTATAACATAGAGGTTAGAAAATGAGTGTTATAACTGTAAAGATGTAACTTAAATTTTTAAATAAGATTTGAAAAAAGATACAAAGGTGTTACATTCCAGTCTAGTAATTACAGGAGAAAATTTGTTTTATGAGAAAAGATAATATGAAATGGTAAACAGGACAGACGAAAGTATAAAAACACTGATTAGAAAGATTTTAAAAATTAGAAAAAGATATGTAATTGAATTAAGAAAGGAATGAGATAATTTAAAATAAGGCTATAGGAAGTAAAGAAAGGGGAAAGCTATTGAAAAAATTGTGAAAATAGTTATATGGATTAGAATGTATAAGATAAATATGTATTGAGTTTATGTCTGTATGGAGAAGTGATAACCTGGGCCACGCTGTTCTCAAAAAAAGATATCTGTATTTGTATGTTTTGTGAAAACTTAAATAAAACTTTTATTTAAAAAAAAGATACTCTCAATCTTACATGGGAAAAGACCCGAACATGCCAAGACCTGCATGCAATGGAAGAAGAAGGTGGGGGAAGTTGATACAAATAATCCTTTTTGATGTAACCTGAATATATTAAATCCTATATTGATTCTGTATAACTTGCATATGATATACAACTGGAGGAGTGGAGCCAGATGTCCAGAAACTTGTCACCTCTTGGAAGAGGTAACAACATGAGAAGTAACTATAAAAATTGCAGCTCTGGAAGACACTCCTGGGAACTCTGCTAAGATACATTCCCAGAGAAGGGGAGGGGGGAATTAACATGTTGGTTCTTTGTTTGACTAAATCCACATCTGAATAAGGGAAGGGATTTTAACTTCCTTTATCTATGACTGTATGCCTGGGGATATCTTAGACTCTGCTTTGCCTAGTGTTGAGATAAAATCCCTTTCAATAAAGGATTCCTTTTGAAACACCTGGTCTTCAGAAGTTCATTCTTTTTGATTGAAGGGAGAAAGTCCAATGCTTACACAGTGCTAAATTTAAAGACATTTTGTTATTTTTATAAATTAATACAAATTAAAATCTTGACTCAAATTGTGGCATATTTTAAACATTCAATTAGATTATTTTTTTTTAAAAAAATGCATTTTAATAGGGTATCTCTTGATTATTTTTAATGTGAGTTAAACAAGATTACTATTGTATCTATGTACTTAATCTCACAAGCCATGCAACTTGATAAACTTTTAACTTTATTAAAATAAAGCAGGGGAAAAAACATTTCTGGCCAATTGGCTGCTGATTTGGAAGCCATAAACATAAAATGTGTCTCCTTTGCTAAGTGAAATATTTTAATGCACAAGGAAATTTTAAATATTTCCTCCCAGACATATTATTCCTTCACCTCAACCAGCTGTATGTGTATGTGCGTGCACACAAATGTGTGCACACATATATACATGTGTGTTTGCACTTTATGGGGAATTCATGATTTAAATGAAGTAAACATTACTTCTCATTTCAATTTCATTCCTGACAACACACACAGCTGTTGTGAAACTTAACAGATGCTCAGCTAAAGACAGTATAGGGCTATGGCCCATTTGTAAGATTGTATCTTAAAATGCGTAATTAAAAATGTATGAATACTTTCAAAATAAATATTAGATACCATGTTTTCCCGAAAATAAGACCTGGTCTTATATTTTGGGGGGCTCCAAAATAAGCACTAGGGCTATCTTTGGGGAAACATGATCTCAGGGTGATCAGCAGAGCTGGATGCCCCTCCCCCTCGAGTATGGTAGCCCTTGGTCGATGCACTCTGGGGTTGTGCATCCTGCACAGCACAGATGAGTTGATTACCTATCCAAACAGCAGATGGCGGCAGAGATGTGTGGGGAGGTACAAAATCTGGATGTGCTGTGCAGGCCATGGGAAGTAGGCCAGAACAGACAACCTGTCACAGGAGGGTTGTCTTCATGTGACAGCATTGGCAGCATATGGAGGCAGAGGAGCTGGGGGAAGGCATGCAATCCAGGCATGCAAGGCAGGCCACAGGCAAGCAGAGACAGTGAGATGGAGCGTGTAGCCACAGAAGGCTTGTCCTCAGATCTCTTGGCTTACTTATGGCTTGCGTCGAGTGTCAGGATTGCTTGCCTCCCATCGCCTCTGCCAACTGCTTGGACAGGTAATCAACTCACATGTGCTGCACAGGCTGCTTCTCCTGCTACTGGACACTCTCGGCCTCAATGCCCTCAATGCCTCTGGTGCTGGCCATGCCCCCCAGGACTGATGATCTTCACTAGGGTTTATTATGGGGGTAGGGTTTATGTTAGATGCACACTTAAAAACCAGGCTAGAGTTTAATTTTTGGGGTAGGTCTTATTTTTGGGAAAACATGTCAAGCTACTTAAAGTTATTGGGTTCCTAATGTCCATAAAGGCTTCCTGAGCTCAAGATTAACAATATCTCTATAAGGAGTGTAAACCTAAAAAGATAAATCTGTTGCTTTTATTTTTATTATTTTTATTAAAAGTTTGCTACCATCTTGCCATAAGGCAACTCAAGGCAACTTCTGATGTAAATAACATTATTTTATCTCGTGCTCTATCAATTTTACTTCAGGCACAATAATTTTAAAACCTTTTCAATCCAGCAAACCTATTAAAGTGTAAACAATGCCTACGAAATACTAGAGAATACTGTCTAGATCAGGGGGTCAAACTTGATCATGCCATAGGCCAGATCATAATGTATTGCACCGTTTTTTCCTTTGTGGAGCTGGGGTGGGCATGGCCTGTGTGTGAATATCTGATCGGTGGACCACTTGTTTGACAGTCCTGGTCTAGATGATGAAAAGTTTCACTTTTTTTAGTCATAATAAGCAATTTCTCTATAGAATAACATGTTCTTTTGAACAAATGAGTTTTTTTCAAAACCAAATGCTACAGACACTTCATAAAATAAGAAAATAAATTCCATACTTAAGAAAAACAGCTGCAAGGAAACAACCAAAGTAGTCAATTGGGCTTTGATCTAACAACTTAAAATGGTTTACTACCAAATTATTTTCTCAGAAAATTTACTTGGGTACCACCACAATCAATTGTGTTATAATTTCAAACATGTTTTTTTTGCTAACCTTGTGCTCTTAAAGTTGCTTTGTATACTAAAAAATGGCATTTTTTTTCTAAACCAAGGTTCAATAAGAAACAAGTTTAAGTCAAATCAAATTAGTTACTGCTGCTAAAGTTCCAAGGAGCAGGAATGGACCCCATTTATATCATAGAGTTTATATATCACTTTCTAACAAATTTTCATTATGTCTAAAAGAAAACCCAAAATTTTGACTGTATTGACTTGACTATAAAAACATTTTTAAAACATACCTTCTTGTCTTCTTTCACTTTCTGTGTTTTCTTCTTCATCTTTTTTTCATCCAGCTCTTGATCAGATGTAATTGCAGGGTTATCAATGCCACCTTTCCATGTTTCCACAGGAGATAAAAGTGGATCTTCTTCACTGCCACGGTGTCTTCCTTTTCTTTTTGTTTTAGACATTGTAAAAGCTTCATCATCACTTGCATCTGAATGTGCTCGTCTATAATAAGATTTGGCTTTGCTGAACAATGTTTTAGATTTATATTTATATTTTGAGGGCCGTCTTTCTCCATGGGTCTTTGAAATTCTATCAGGAAATCCATTTTCTTCCTCTCCTTGGGCATTATTTATAATAGAGGAATTTCGAAATTTAATCATACGATTCTGACTATCATCTGGAGTTATATAGGTATCATCAGCAACACCCCTGTGCTTAAAAATAGTGTCTATAGGTTCAGCATAGTTATCAGATTGTTCAAGATCATCAGTTGGTGCCAAAATCATTCTAGTTTTTCTGGGATATTGTTTACCAATACCTGCTTCAATGGTTTTTAATAGATTTGGATCCAGTTTTTTCACATTTGTCTTGGTTACAATTGGTTTTGGCTTTATGGGAGGAGGCACTTTGTGGTTGCGTTCATGATCATGGCAGTTAGGTGTACTATGAATGGGATATTCATTACCTTCTACATCCAAACGGTATTTTGAGCGATCAGGTGTTGGGAGCAACTGTACCTCATCTCCAATTGGACTATAAGGAGGTGGGGCTTCAGTATCATCTTCTGAATCTGGATAACAGTTGTAAGCAAGAGAACTTGCTCTAGGAGAATGCAAGAAAACATCTTCATTTGTGTGCGTTGTCTCTCGTGTACTATCAGAGATATAAGAGTTTTCAATCATGTTTTTCTTCTCCAAGACTTCACTAAAGAACAAGGTGAAAACCTCAGTCTGACGGTGATATTGAGATAATGAATACAGAGCTGTAAATTTAGCAGTAATTTCAGTTGCTATATGTTCACCTTCAGTCATCAATTCCTTGATAGCCTCATTCTCAAAGAAGTCTGCTTGACTATCGGTAACAGCTACTAATTGTACAGGAATAGTATCTTGCACTTCTGAAAGAAATGCTCGAAGCATTCCCATAGATGCTTTCCGTTTAGCAGAATAAACTAGTATATAGCCATGAACAAGTTCATCTTTTCTTACACCAATTGAAGAATGATATGATAATATTGTAATCTGTATTCGCCTCCGTTTTTCACCTATAATTTTATCTAGCATTAGGGAATTATTCTGACCAGCCTGAGCAGCACTACAAGAATGCGAATCAAGGAATGGTGAAAGAATAAGATCTACACTGAATGGATCTCCACACATAGCACACATAACAATTCTTAAGTCAGCTTCTGAAAGATCTTTAATTGTAGGAATAGGGCTTACAACATCAAAATTGTGTTTAACTGCATCCAGAACACTCCTCAATGCTTGCTTTATCTGAGCCTCATTAAATTTACGTGGATAAGTACCAGCAGGCACATCAATAAAAGGACACTGCAACTTGTTTGCTAACTGCTGCCCCTGATGTCTTAGAATAGGTAAATTTTTGCTAACACTTTCTCGTTGATTGGCCAATATTAGAGTAAATGGAAGGTTGGCCATGTACTTATCTCTTCTTATTTGAGAAGCTTCAGTCCTGATTTTTCCAATGGATTCACCAATAAAATTAAGTGATTCAATTGAATTAAACACACAGAAATATCCATGAGGTTTGAAGGCTGAAGTCCATAATTGGCTTAGAAGGTAAGGTGACTTAGCATCAACTGGTCTGAGATCAAGTTCATATATTTTTCCATCTAAGGCATATTCATCATCAGTAGACTGTGTCCGAATTTCATTTGCCAATTCTTGTGCAAGACCATCTTTACCCAAAATGAAAATATTAACTTTATCGATGTTGGCACTATCATGATAAAAATTTGAACGACCATGGTCCAATTGCAGGAGGCTTCTAGCAAGTAAGTGTTCCACTTTAATATCCATACAGCTTTGGCCACTGAGACATGTTTCTTTAGTGGGATGATATACAAAACCAATATGTTTAAGCAGAAGTGACTCTCTATCAGGTGCAAGTTTCTGTAAAGCTTTGTATCTAGGCTCTTCACTAAGAACTGCATGAATTTCACTCATTTTGTCAGAACTAGGTGTTGCATTCAAATCCAGGTCATAAAAGAGTTCTGAATGTTCAAAAAGCATTTCCTGAAATTCCTCTTTGGCTTTTTCGACTATTTCCCGTTGATGCCTACTATATACTTCTTTACTGTCAGCTTCTGTAATATATTTAAAAGCTTCATCTTCCATTACAAAGCACATAACTTCTTCCCAGGGTTGCCCAGGAGAAATGAACTGAATTTTTTCAAGTGTTTTTTTGAACTTTTCCTTCATTTCAACTCTCCTTTTTTCTGATATTAAATGTTGCACATGATTTTGATATACCTTTTCAGCTTCAAGCATGCTCAAAAGGTCAAATGGAATTCTCCTGTCATTTACTTTGTCTATATGGTCAGTTTCATACCAGGGTGTTTTTTCCAGCACCACAAAGAATAAATGGAAATCTTGTTTTTTTTCCATTAATTTCAAAGCTTCAGGCCAACTCAAATGTTCAATCTCTTCAAGGTTTGACAGAAGTGTGTTAAATGCTCTTGGTAATGTATTAATATATTCATCTCTTCTTTTTCTTATATGTTCTTGCTTAAGTTGCTCAATGTGTTTTGAAAATGTATTCTGGGCTTTGTTTGTTCCCTCTAAATTAATGTAATCCTCATAATCAGGATGATTTTTCAGTTTGTTACTAACAGTCTTCCATGTGGCATGATAGTCTCTCACAGTCTGCACAAGTTTCTCAAACTTATCTGTTGATGTAACAGCAACTTGCCTTTGTGTTTTATAGGCATCTAAATAAGGGATTATTTTAGGCTTGCCACGAGTTTTATCCATCATTTGTATCAGTGCAGTGAAACATGTCTCCACATTAACATTGAATCTTGCAGATGTTTCTACTACAAGAAGGTTCTTCTTATTTGAAGCAAAAGCTTGAACTTCTCGTAAATAATGGTCCACACATTCATCACATTTAGTTGCTGCTATAATTATAGGTTTTTTAGATTTTGAAAGCTGAATATAGAGGTTATTTACAAATTTAAGTTGGTCATCAAACTTCCTATTGCATCCTTGGCTTACATCAATACATAATAAAAATCCATCAATACTTAGCTTTCCTTCAGGCATTTGCTTTTGCTCAAAGTCTTGTTCTAAACCAAGCTGATCTGTGCAAATATACATAAGTTTTTCTGCTGACTGCAATTTGGTTGCAGCTGCACGCTTTATATAAGGTTGTAAGTTTGTACTACGATGAGGCAGAAATGTCTGATCATCAATGAACTCAGTTTGTTCAATAACATGAATTTTGCAATCTACTCCATCCTCTCCACACTGTATTACATCACCCCAGTATAAAAAGTGATCATTATTAACAACACGACCACCAAAGTCAATTGTGCTAAGCACAGAGGTATGTTCAGGGTAATATTCATCTGCTTTTGACCGCACAAATCTATTGCACAAACATGATTTTCCAACTCCACAGTTTCCTTTGTCTTTTTCAGTCCCAGAAAGTCCAACCACACTAACAGCATAGGCTGGGGGACGAGGCTCTTTGTTCTTTGCCATCATAGTGTTCTTCTCATCCTTCTGAATTCACCAACACAGCTGGGTGCAATGCTCATTCTTTAAAATGATGCCACATACTAAAATTTTATCTCCAAAGTTCAAAATCATTTTCAGTTCTTAAATCCTCATGATTGCAATAAAAGTGGGTGCTCCAGATCAATTGCTCCATGATTCTGAAAGAAAAAGGAAAAGCAGTGTATCAATTACAGTTAATCAAAGTTTAATTTTAAATACTGAAATGAATTCTGACAAACAGAATAGTTTTAAATAATTTAGTTTAATAGTTAAACAGTATTTCAATTATTCCTCAAAATTTTCTTTCAGAATGCATACGGATAATCTTGTATTAATGACTGAACAGTAAGGTTTGTGTAACTCTTTAAGCAAACAAAACTGTTATTTGATTTTAATACCAAGAGGGAAACTAATATCTAATGTGGATTAAAGAATCTAATTTTAAGCACAATTACTTCATTGGAACTTGTTTCCAATTGTTACCAATGAGGACAAGCCTAATCAATAAATAAATAACAATATATTGGACCACTGTTCCAGTCTGAATCCTAAGTGAACCAGATATTGTTGCTTGAAAATGAATAACAACAGTGTACATATGAAACTTTTGCATTGATTGTATGAATCCTACCTGTAAAAAGTAAATAAACAATATTAAATAGGACCATAAAACTATATATTAACATTAACTAAGTTAATAAAATATTTGGATTAGAATATTAATTACAGCAATTGCAACTTATCAGTTAACATTACAAACGATAGTCTCATTAAAAATGTTTTATTATTGTTCATTTCTATCCACCTTCAAAACACAGAATGAGATTTCAAAACATCTCAGAACTGAACCACTACATAAGAACATATTTAAGTTTATATTTTCATATAAGGGTCATAATTCACAAGTTCAATTCATAGCAAATTTCTGTTATCAGAAATCAAAATGTTATTTCCATTTCCATAGTACGCATGTTTCTTTAAATTTTAGTTACCATATAAAAAATAAAATTGATCTGTTTTAGATTATATTAGCAAAAACAAGTGAAATTATCTAAATAAATTATATTAAGGCATTGTGAAATCTTTCTAACTTCTGCCAGTATTTTTAGTGAGTAGCTTTAAGAAATATTTTTTATCTTTCCTGATCTTTTTTTCAATAAGAATTAAAGTCACATACTAATATCCTATGCTGAAGATTATAATCTTTATACATTCAGATCTATGAATATTTTAAGCAATTTACCAAGTGCAAATACACTTTAACTTTCAAAAATGGGGAGGGGGTTGTGGAATAGCAAAATTTGAAGTCCTTTAATATGAGCAGAAAAAAAGATTATATTTTTCTGCCCGGGGGGGTTATGTTTGGGGACTTCCAGTGAGGAATAGTAAACTTTTTTTTACTCCATGGATCACAGAGGTATAATGGCCAAAAGCGCAAATTTAGCACTTGCTGCATCAGTTTTAGAAAGAAAGAGAATTACACTTCCATCTTTGTAAGATCTTTATTTTTTGCAATGTACAGGAAAAGAATTATTATACTGTTGTTTAGAAATCTTTTGTAAATGCTACGGGTTTGAGTAAATTAGAAAGATTCTTCTGCATTGGAAAAATATTTATTTTTACATTTCAAACTGCTAACAAGAATTCGAAGATTGATCATTAGAGGTCTCCAGATGACTAAATTAAATGAAGCATTTAATTTGTGGATTCAAGAAATGTTCAAACTATTTAACATTATATTGGAACTAAAGGCTGTTATTGAAGAACAAATCCTTTTGATGATAAATGAAACAGATGTTATGTGGACTTTCAAATAAAACTGAATGATCATTTAAAAATGTAAAAAGATATACCAATTATGCATCAAATGAGTGATATATATTACCCTTTTAAATTGGAATGTAATACTACTACATTAAACTTACAAGTGGATTTGGATAAAGAAAACAGTTCCAAGAGAAGAGACAAAGGTAGTAGAAAAAACAGGAGCTAGAACTTTATGGGACTTAAGGATGGCTGGGAGGAATAAGGAAAAAACCATACAATAATACAAAATTGGTTTGATTATACTTAAGTAAAGAGTTGCTAGTTTTGGTGATGCTTAATGAGTATCGTGGATAGGGTTTTTTTCTAAGGTTCAACTGTGTGTAATGAATTAAGTTTGCAATATATAGGTTATTATTTTTGATATGTAAAGAAAAGGTCACTATTTCTGGTAATGTTTAACAGTTTTTAATTTTGTAACTTTGTTATTGTTAATTGGGATTAGATTTTGATTACTAAACAAATTGATGAGGGAGATTTTGTGGGATAAGGGGTGGCAGAAACTGGGGGAAGTTTTAAAAAGTGATCAGTCTAGAATCTCTACATAGGCATAAGTGGACTAAATCCCACTCCCCAACCCCACCTTGAATTACAATGTCCCTTATCTAACTTTTAGCTGATGCTTACCATTATTTGAGAATATTTCTATGCATATAGGCATGAATAGCAATAAATATGTTTAATTGGATCTTTCACATGTAGACCTGTTCTTTCATGCCTGACAGGTTTAAATTAAATGGAAAGGGAGATTATATACTTATGTTGTTAAGCATTTATGTTAATGTTTATTGGATCATTGCTGATTAATAAGGAGATTTAGAAAGAGGTTCATAGAAAATGGGATGAGGTATGGAATGAAGATGTACTGGTATTTTAAGTGACAGATAAGTTGTTAATGTTTTTTATAAGTTTATAAAATAAGTTTATTATACTTGCTGGGAATAAAATAAAAGTTTCTTCTTTTTGCTTTGGGAGGATTTTATGAACTTTTAAATTATAATGTAATGTTTTTGTACTATGTTATTGTATTAAATTTTATGTGTTCAATATAATTCTTAATAAAAATCATTGGGGGCAAAAGATGTTTGAAACTACAGGTAGTTTTCAACTTACAACCACGATTGGGACTGGAATTTTGGTTGTAAATTGATGTGGTTGTTAAGCACTCCTCACATAAACAGACCCAATTTGACAACCATTGTTACTTCAGTCATTAAGCAAATCACCAAGATCATTAAGCAAATCATATGATCATTAAGTGAATCATATGGTTACGTGAATCCAGCTTCTCCAATTAATTTTGCCTGTTGGAAGCCAGTTGGGAAGGTTGCAGATCATGATTCATGCAACTACAAGTTATTGCAACTGCTGTATATGCAAGCTGGTTTCTAACCACCCAAACTGCAATCAGATGACAAGGGGGTACAACATTCATAATTTCAAAAATGGGTGGTAAGTCACTTTTTCTGATGCTATAAGTTCAAACCATAATTATACAAATGATCATAAATCAAGGACTACTTGGAAAATATGGAGCTTCAAACTTTTCAAGTTTGTATATATGCTATTACCTATGTGATATAATGCCAAAGAATGTTCAAACTACAATACAAACTTATTTCACATGCTAACAAGATAGTGCTCAAAATCCTACAAGCTAGGCTTCATCAATATGTGATCCAAGAACTACTAGAAGTACTAGCAGAGTTTCAAAGAGACAGAGGAACTAGACATCAAATTGCCAATATTCTCTAGATTATGGAGAAAGCAAGAAAGTTCCAGAAAAACATTTACTTTTGCTTCATTGACTATGCTAAAGCCTTTGATTGTGTAATCACAACAAACTGGCAAGTTCTTAAAGAGTACCCAACCATCTTACCTGTCTCCTGAGAAATCTGTATAAAGATCAAGAAGTAGCGGTCAGAATCAGAGTTGAAGCAACTGATTGATTCCAAATACAGAAAGGAGTACTACAAGGCTATATATTTTAAGCCTACTTACTTAACTTATATGCAGAGTACATCATGTGAAATGCTGGGCTGGATGAATCACAAGAATTAAGATTACCTGGAGAATATATTGGGAGGTAAACTAGGGCAAATTTAGACAGCATATTAAGAAGAGGAGACATCAACTTGTCAACAAAGGTCTGTATAGTCAAAGCTATGGTTTTTCCCAGTCGTAATGTATGGCTGTGAGAGCTGGACCATATGGAAGACTGAGCAATGAAGAATTAATGCTTTTGAACTGTGGTGCTGGAAAAGACACTTAAAGAGTCCTCTGGCCACCACATGAGAAGAGAGGATTGTCTGGAAAATACCCTGACATGAGAAGAGAAGACTATCTGGAAAAGACCCTGATGTTGAGAAGACAAAGCAAGGAAATGGCAGGGATGAGATGTTAGTGTCATCAATGCAGTGAACATGAATTTGAACAAACTTCAGGAGAGGAAGGACAGCAAGCTATGGTCCATGGAGTTGTGAACAATCAGACACAACTTAGTGACTGAACAACAACAAAAAATGAGACACAAAGCAGAGTGTGACACTGAAAGTTAAATAGTTTAAAAGTTGTCACTTATCTACCTTAGTATAAAAAGGACTAATATGTATTGCAAAGCTTCTTTGCTGTATACAGCTACTTCCAGTGTCATAAACTCAAAATAGCCTTTGATTCCTAAATCACACTTCTTTATAATTACATGAAATTACATGAAAAAAATATGGGAAACTCTGAAAAATGCAATCATAAAAGCCCAATCCAGCGCAATACCACTCAAAAAGAAAAATAAGAAATTCAAGAAGAAACCATCATGGCTGCACAAAAATTTATCTGACAAACTGAAAGACAAAAAGGACAAACACAGAAAATGGAAAGGGGGACACATTACTAAGGCTTATTATTAGCAGATAGCCAGGACATGCAAAGATGGAAGTCAGGAAAGCAATGGTTCAGAATGAACTAAGGCTTGCTACAAAAGTCAAAGATAATTTTAAAAGTTTCTTCCAGCATATTAATAACAAGAAAAAAGTCAAGGAAACAGGTTCTTTGCATCAGTCTTCAAGCAAAAAGAAATTATAGCCCAACATACCAAAAAGCTACTGTAAAAGACAAACCAGAAATAAAAAATAAAATAAGCAAGAAAATGGTAAGAGAATGTCTACCTGACCTTGATGAATATAAATGACTTAGATGAGGGAACAGAAGGGGAACTCATCAAATTTGCAGATGATACTAAACAGGCAGGAATAGCCAACACCTCAGAAGACAAACTCAGGATCCCAAAAGATCTTTACAAACTTGAACAATGGGCCCTATCCAACAAAATTAATTT